GGGTTTTTTTTTTTTTTTTTTTTTTTTGAGAATTCAATTTTTACTCATAAAACTTTCAATTTCATATTCCATATTTAGTTTAGTTACATTTTTGTTCTCTATATAAATTCACCTTCTAATTTTTTTAAAATAAGATATATATAATATTTGAAAACTCAAAATAATATCAAGTTTTACAAATTTGATTGTATTGCAATTATTTGCAAACCAAAGAAAAATATATTCTTCTTACAATTTTATTATATTGCGCAGTTTATTAAAATCGCATAATAATTTTATTTTACAACTTTAGAATAAAAATCTATAAAATAATAAAAATGACTGCATTTTCTACTTGAAGGTAAGTTTACGACATTTATTTATCTTGACATGTAATTCGAGAAAAAACTCAATTTACTAATTTAACAAATTTGTCTAAAAATTAAAATTATAAAATGTTAATTTTCTTGTAGTATAGTCTTTGATATATATATACACATATATTTTAGTGGTTAATCTTAAAATTTAAATTTAGTATTGATTTCTTACTAGTAGTGTAATTAAATGCCAGATAATATACTATAATTTATGTTTAAATTTAACTTTAGTCAAATAATTTAATATGTGATTATTATAAAAGTAAAAGTTTACTAATTTTACACGCATGGAAAAATATTTGATTTTAATAAATTAATACAGCTTATTATAATTAAACTGTAATTTGATGCCACATCATCATTTTATATATTAATTTAAACATTTTGCGGCGATTAATACTCAATTAAAAAGAATTAAACAAAACCATCGCAAGTTTAAAAAAAAATCAATTAAGACTAAAATATAAATTTAACAAAAAAAAAAAGATTTGAAATAATAAATAAGGTGGGGACAAATTAGGAATAACTCCCAACTTCTCCAACGCTCAACGAGTAAAACGTGGCCTTCCTCATATATTACGTCATATATCCGTAACAAGAAAATAAATATAAAAAGATGAGCAATTAAAGTCAAACAGTCAAATCCGATAAGAAGTGGATAATTACGACTCGATCACTTAAAATATATATATTTTCCTTTATTTATTTATTTTTTATAGAAAAAAGAAAAGAGGATAATCCAAAATTTTCAAGTATTTATGGTAGGTTCCGAAGTTAAGTATATAAAAATATAATTTTAGCCACAAAAATTAATTTAATTACAATTGAGTCCCCATTTCCACGCCCACCACCATTCTTTTGCAGCCCACAACTCTCTTCTTCTTCTTCCCTCCATCTTCCCCTCATTGATTTTTCACTTCTTTCTCTCCCCCATCATCGTCTCCTTTTCCCCTCTTTTAATTCCCTCTTTCTATTTCAGTAAACGCCCAATTTCAGTTCCTCCACAAGTATTGCTCTGCAGCTCTCAATAGCAACAACGAGAACTGTGTGCCGTGGCATTTTAGTACCGCCGTTTCTCTCTTTGATCATCGTCGTTTTGAAGGGCTACTAGTTGGAGTGAGTTTTTGCAGATTTTCCTTGCGTGGTTTTTTGAGTTTCATTGCTTTGAGCTTGATTTTGAGGAGTTTGTGTTTTGTTTTATCGACTACTTTTTTGGGGGTGTTTTTCTGTTTGTCTCCATCTTGCCTGTTACTTATCTATCTCTGTCTCTGTGTTCCATTGGAGCTTATCTTGAATCTCCTAGTTCGTTTGATTACATGCAAGTTTGAGTGATTTGGTTCACAAAGATTCACTTTTTGTTTTTGTTTCCATGTGGGGTTTGAGTTTTCTGAAATGCAATACAGTGTTTGAGGGAAGATCGTTTGGCTTGACTTGTTCAATTGTGTTTATATTTTTCCCTTCTGTGGAGTGGTTTTGCCCTTTTTTTTCTTCTTTTTTTTCCTTTTTGGGTTAATCGGGCATGTGATTCGTTCTGTTTTGGTCGTATCAGTTGCACCTCCACAAAAAAAACCAAACAATAAAAAGGATAGCGGTTTTTAATGTTTTTTCTTTCCTTATTTTGTCTGATGTTTTGATCCAGCCATGTGGGATTAAATTTATACTACTTTGAGTTTAACAACGATTTGATGATTCCAAGTATTGTGTTTGTATCTTTGCAATGATATTTTGATATTAATAGTTCACTGGTTGAGTTTTGTAAACAAATTAGCAGCTGAGCCCACATGTGGGGAAGTATATTAAGAATATATTAATTTAAACGATTGAATGTATAGTATACTTCTTAATGTCCCTGATCCTTGTCTGCCTGTTAATATAGTATACTTCGGTTTATTTAAGCGTAAGCTATTGACATCGATTGTGATTGACGGTGGATTACAAAACTTTCCCTGCATTGGATATTGGCTCTCGATCATGACCGTGAATAGTTTTCCTCTTTTGGCAGGAAACTCGTCGATGACTTTTTTGTTCTTCACTTGACATAAGTACACCGGAATCTTCTTTCTATTGCATATCAAGTAGAGAAGATCAGAAAGTGATGCAGAAGCAGCGTTCACATCACTCATTTTCAGGTTACTTTCAAAACCACAACCACCATTTCTTTAAAAGAATGGTTGAAGGAATGTAGTAATTGTTTCTTTATTATGTATGGTAGGTCATTCTTATAGTCCACCCATGGCTAAGCCCAAAGAAAAGGAAAATGCATGGGGTAATTTCCACAAAGCTGATGCTTTCGATGCTTCCAGCGTTACTACACTATTCTCAAGCTCATTGCCGGTTCTTCCGCATGGGAAGCGTAAGTTCTGCCAATGCCAACTGTCTGATATTCTTCATCTTATATTCACCATCCTATGTAGTGTTAACTGAGACCCTTTCGTTCTTTATCGTGACATGCAGTGAACATGACCGACAAAGGAGTTGCTATTCAATCGGTTGATGACATCTCATCTCGCTTTAAGAATCTCAACCCAGGTCCGGAGGGGGATGATGTGCTTGAAGACATCGAAACTCATGCAATTGGCAGCTTGCTTCCCGATGATGAGGAGGAGCTTCTAGCGGGAATATTGGATGATTTAGATCTGAATGGCTTGCCTACCTCTCTTGAAGACTTGGAAGAATATGATCTTTTCAGTAGTGGAGGTGGCATGGAGTTGGAAACAGATGCTCAACAAAATGCTAGCATTGGTTCTTCAAGGGTAGGCTTAGGTGATGGTGCAGTTGGAAGTGTGGTGCCTCCTTATACCTTTTCAAATGGTAATGGAACGGTCGCTGGAGAACATCCTTATGGAGAGCATCCTTCAAGAACGTTGTTTGTGCGGAATATTAATAGCAATGTTGAAGATTTGGAACTGAGAGCTCTCTTTGAGGTGATGCATTTTGTGTAAATCTTATTTAAAATCATTTGTTAATATATCCGTTTTATTTGTGATGACAATTGAATGGAAACATATGCCTTGTACCAAGGATATACTGATATGCTTCTTTCCCTTCTGGCTTGCAGCAATATGGCGATATCAGGACTTTGTATACTGCGTGTAAACATAGGGGCTTTGTGATGATATCTTATTATGACATTCGTGCTGCTCGAACTGCCATGCGTGCATTGCAAAACAAACCACTGCGGCGGAGAAAACTTGACATTCACTTCTCAATTCCCAAGGTTCTGAGCCGATATTCAATCGTTCATAGTTTATCTCAACTTTCGTTTGGTTTTTGAGTATTGGTTTCATTTCTATGATTTCTTTCACCGTACAACAGAATAATCCATCTGAGAAGGATATAAATCAAGGAACCTTGGTAGCCTTTAATTTAGATCCCTCAATTCCCAATGAAGATCTTCATCAAATTTTTGGGGTCTATGGGGAGGTCAAAGAGGTGATTGTTTTACCAACCCTTCTTATATTTCTATTGTCAGTTGATTCCTAGTTTTCTTGATTTATGATTAATGACATTCGGCGTTGATTCCTAGTTCTCTTGATTTATGATTAATGACATTCGGCGATGTGGTATTCGTTTCAAAAACAGATAAGGGAAACTCCACACAAGAGACACCATAAGTTTATTGAGTATTATGATGTTAGAGCTGCTGAAGCAGCACTGAAGGCATTAAATAGAAGCGACATTGTTGGCAAACGCATAAAGCTAGAACCAAGTCGCCCTGGCGGAGCTCGTCGAAGGTGTGTATTTGAGACCATAAATTTTTATGTTTTCTTCTCCTTCTAATATATTCTTGCATAGATTTATCAGCATGTTCTCTATTTGGTTGAAGTTGAATTGATAAATGTTTGTGTCTAATTCATACTTAATATCAATACATTTTTTTTTTATTCTTAATGAACTCGTTATTATGCGTCATCGTGATCCCTCCAGCTTGATGTTGCAACTAAATCAAGAACTTGAACAAGATGATTTCTGGAGTTTCCGCCCTCAAGGTTCACCGGTTATCAATTCTCCCCCAGGTAGGATACCGTTAAACGTTTCTGTCATCACTCACACGCCTATTTCGTTGTCATGTATTTATATTTTTTATTTACCTCACAATTCTCCATCTCCAACCACTATCTTAGCATCTGTGACAGGTAAATGGATGTCGTTCAACGGTTCGATTAAACCTAGTTCCATGGGAAGTATCAGCAACTTTCCGGGTTTTACATCCATAAGCCCAACAGGTGGCAACCATTTGGCTGGATTAGCTTCAGTTCTTCCTAAAGTAACAAGAAGTAATGTGAAGGTTCCTCCTATTGGCAAGGACCAGCATCCATTGTATATAAATCCATTGCATGCCTTTCAACCATCCCTTTCATTTCCCGAACCAAAATCAAGGCCCTATAATGAGACTATGCCCTCCTTCAGACCTCCCACATCAAGTGGATCATGTGTGGAAGCATTATCCGGTCCACAAACTTTTTGTGGAAGTCAGAATTCATACACAGAGTCCTCTAGTTCTTCTGCTTGGTCAAGATCGTACACAAACCTTCAGTTCTTATCCAATGGAAATGGTCATACATTTCCGTTTCCCGGCCGACAAACTTCTTTCTTCAGCTCAACTCCCACTGCTCTTTCGCATCATGTCGGATCTGCTCCATCTGGTGTCCCGTCGGAGAGGCACTTTGGGTATTTCCCCCAGTCACCAGATACTTCGTTAATGGGTCCTGGGGCATTCAGAGGTTTAAGCTTTAGTTCACATGCTCCTGTAAACCCCGCCATCACCACACCGAGAAACATGTCTGAAATTCACCCTTCGACTTTTCAAATGATGTCTTCATCCATGCTGAACTCGATGTTATCAGGTAGTGTTCCATACTTGGGACTGCTACCAAACAGCCTGGATGGTTTGAATGAGCGTGGCAGAAGCCGATGGATTGAGAATAACGGAAATCAGATTGACAGTAAGAAGCAGTTTCAGCTCGAGTTGGATAAAATTAAGGGCGGGGAAGACACTCGAACAACCTTGATGATAAAAAACATTCCGAATAAGTAAGATACGACTAGTTCTTCACCCTGCCCTTTGCTTTGCTTATTTTTTCTTTTTCCTTTCCATTTTTGCTGTTGTAAATATGTTCAAATCATTCTCTCCCCACAGGTACACGTCAAAAATGTTATTAGCTGCCATTGATGAACATCATAAGGGTACTTATGATTTTCTCTACTTGCCAATTGATTTTAAGGTAACTTTGAACTATCCTTTTGAATGTTGGGATTGAACTAAAACCAAACTTGTTCTTTTTATCCATTTTACTTCTCACAAATGCAACCGATTGGCATTTTCGTTTGAACTGTGCAGAATAAATGCAACGTGGGCTATGCTTTCATCAATATGCTATCTCCTCAACACATAATATCCTTTTATGAGGTTTTATTATCATCATTTTTTTTACTACTTGGCGTGATATTTTAGAACCGTTTCGACATTAAATTTATTCAATTCGGGTCAGCAGCATAATATGTATTTGAGTTTGTCTGTATAGGCTTTTGATGGAAAGAGATGGGAGAAGTTCAATAGTGAGAAAGTTGCTTCCTTGGCATATGCTCGAATCCAAGGAAAGATGGCTCTCATGAGTCATTTCCAGAACTCAAGCTTAATGAATGAAGATAAGCGCTGCCGCCCCATTCTTTTTCACTCAGAGGGGCCTGAGGCTGGAAATCAGGTCAAAAGTTCAAATATATCTAATTCAGCCTTTCTCAATTTTATCTTGGTCATTTGTGAACACGATGGAACATATAAATCCGATAGAACTCGTTCTTCATTCTGATCTAAGCTGGGTCTGCCCCATCTATTCGACGTAAAGTTCATAATGATCCATCCTTCAAAGTTTGGTGACAGTTTTTAAGCACGGTTGGAACGTATAATACTCATCTGTGGCATGTGCTTGATGTCATTATCATTTCATTTTGCAGATTCTTCATGAACATCTGCCATCCTCCCATTTGGGCGTCAATATCTGGGCGATGAATGATTCGTCGGGAAGCCCTCCAAGTAACGGCATTAGTGAGGGGCTTGATAAATTCTAAACGCAGCGTCATCGCCCTCTGCCCAGATCTGTAGCTGCTGAATTTCTAACTTGAGTAAATAATCGTACATATGTCAGGAACAGTTGGATTAGGAAGAACAAACATATGCAGATTTTGTTTATAAGGTGCTTTCTGCAGTGTTTTGGTTGGAAGATTGGATGGAGATGGAGTGGCTGGTTCCATGTCGGTTGCTGTCTTCGGTCTCGGCTGCCCAGTGTTGTTTATGCACTGAATTAGTCCATGATTTCTCCTACATTTTGGGAGCTTCTTTTTGCCTTCCCCCTAAATGTTGGTTTGAGAAATGAGAAACAATGTATATACCACAGTTGATTGTGTTTTTTGGTTGGGAAGCTTTGGAGAGGAGGAACCACACAATTGTATAGCGGGTAGGACCTTTGCAACTTCTATGCCCAAAACTTGTTTCAGCTTTTTAAATACAAGTTCAATTGCTTGTGTTTATACCATTGACCACTTCGGATTCTTGGCCTATTTCGGCACGAGTGAAGTGAGGGGAATCACCCTGATCTTGAATCAACTAGTAGATCATCATCAATTCAGGGACTCAATCAACTAGTAGATCATCATCAATATAGGAACTCCCTCAATCAACTAGTAGATCATCATCAACATAGTGACTCAATCAACTAGACTAGTAGATTATCATCAACACAGTGACTCAATCAAATAAGTTGGGAGTTGGAGTTCGGAGTTTAGAAAATAAAAAACTATAAACTAGATAATTATTGGGGCTTAATTAGTATATTTTATTCTCGATTTATCTTATTTTCTCTTTGCGGAAAAGAAAAAAAAAAGATGACTTTTTCCATCCCATGGAAAATATTGACCTATTGACCAATGAGAGAGTGAGAGGATAAATAGGAATAATTAATTAATTGTTTGGGGTTATTTATAATAAAAAAAAACCCAAAAAATTATAAAAAGATATATATAATGAAAGACCTGCGCATAGACTGGAAGGGAAGCGTAGACATAGACAATGATCTAGCTCGAGGTCCTTCACCGCGAAGCTGAACATATCAACGTGGTGTGCTTAGCTGGCTCCACTAGCCACGTGGCATAACTCTATAGGTCCAGTCATTTTAGAAATACCTTCATCAAAGCCGTCTATAAGTCCCCAGATTCTACGTTTTTTCTCTCTCCGACATTCCTTGAATAACATTTTAGAGAGAGAGGGGAGGAAGAAGAAGCAGGGGGAGGAGTAGGAGGAGGAGGACTCTGTTGCTTCACCAGGTATTCGGATTTTCTTCTCGCTCTTTTACTCCTCCGATTGATTGTCCTCTCTGCTTCACTTCAATTTCGTAATTATGTTCGGTGAATTTCCTCTGTTTATTCTCTGTTTCTCTCTCTCTCTCTGTACTGGTTGAAGGAGTATGAATTCAACTTATCTGGACCTCTCTAGGGCTTGATTTCACACGGCTTAGTTTCAAGCTCGTTTTTGAGTTCTTTTCCTCTTACCCACTAAGACTCTTCCACGAATTTGCTTTGGTTGACTTTAATTGCTGAGAGGTTCACTTCGAGATTTTTCTGTTTCTTTCCCGCCTTCATTTCATTCTTCAATTTTACCGATACTGCGTCCCGGAATCTGCGCGGGTTTACGGTTATTCGAGCTTGGAAGATTTTGACTAATCGAACACGTTTTTACTGCTGGTACTGTTTTACTTCTCTCCCGGGGAGTAATTATATGTTTGTGTTTCTACGTTGAATAATAAAGTTTTTGTAGTATGTCTAGATTTCCTTCACTGTGTTGTTCGTTTATTTGTTGATTATTAGATTATCATTTTTTCTTTTTGGGTATTTCATTGTTGCATAAATTCTACACCATGAGAAGGGATTTCTTACACCTTAAGGTTTTGGCTTGAGGTTAGAATATTTAGTTTCTTCTCCGTGATGGTCGAGTTTTCTCTTGGGGATGAGTCGCCCTATCTACTAACATAGTTGTCACTTTCTCACGATGCTTTCGTACCATGCCACAACAAGTTTATGCATTATTGACATTTTTCTAATTAAATATATACTGGTTGCTACACCCTTTGATGTTTGTGGTGCTCTGGGTGGAGTGTGGAATAACCTTGAGCTGTGAATAACCATCCATGTTATTCTTGGAAGCGTTTCATTGTACATACAAATTTCAGATGGCTGCTCCATCCGTTGATACGTTAGATTTTTTTTTTTTTTTTTTATCTTTGGGTACTTATGGTCTCGACTTTTGTGCTCTACAGGTGTGTTTTCCACTGATGTTCTTGAATCAACGTAGTGGTACATATCATCAAAAGTGCAGGACAAATGCCATCAATAAAAATGAAGGCCAAGTTAAGCTCGAGCTGCTTAAGAGAAAAACATGGTCTTCGTGTTTGTCAGAAATCTAGTGTCATCTCTAAAAAAGCTTGTTTTCTCCCGAGGGATTCCGAAGAGACAGATGAATTTAATGGCTGTATTACACAATATCTGGAGGGTAGGTAACCTTTTCCTTCTTTCTGTCTTTCTTTTTAACTTAGATGTTATCTTGTTTTATTTTTAAAAAATATATTACTGATTACGTTCATAGTTTGTGGTTGTTTTCTCTAGCATGTGGGAGAAATCCGTTAATCTAAATTTTTTAAAATCTATTTAAGTTCACTACCTTGGTCTGCTAATAAAATATTTAAAAATGCTGGATCACTTGGAAGTTTGAAGTTACAAAAAGAAACGGTGTAATTCTCAAGCATCTTGAACAAATACATTCGAATAATCTCAGTCTCAACCTCCTGTCATATTTAGAATGAAGAATCACACGCATGGAAGAATATAGCTTCTTAAGAGAAAAGGCACCGCTTTGATGTTTCCTATAGTTTGATTTCGATTATGCAAAAGTAAATATGATGTTATTTTCCTTCATACTGATTTATGCAAACCCTTTTTTTTTTTTTTTTTTTTTTTTTTTGTTTAATAAAACGATAAAAATCTATTTGAGATCTTTGAAATCTTTAATTTTTTCTACGAAGTTACCATTTTGCATCATTTTCTCCTCCTCCCAAAGTTGAAAATTTCTCAGAAATCAAACTATTTTTCATCCATTACCAGACAAAATCAATTGCATTGCCATTTTTTTTTGGGGTACTGATATTTGTTTATTATGCAGTTTCTCTAAACACAGAATCTATTAATAGCAATATAAATGAGGAAGCCATTGATCACCAAGAATTCATTGACGAAGAAACTTCTGAGTTGAAGAGGCACGGAGAAGCTTTTGAGTTGAAGAGGGAAGAACCTTTTTCAGTCAATGCTGCAGATATGAATGGAATGGTATGATGTGATTTTTTTTTAAAACAGGATAAACTGCAAATACATATTTTGATATTTTCTCAAGAATTGTGTGCGAACTCTTTATGAGAATTATTAGTATCTAGACTAATAGGCGCATGGGATTTTCATAATACATCAAGACATATGGTGAATATCCCGGTTGTAAAATCATTCTAAGCACTTCTTTAATAAATTATACCCGAGGATTTCATATGATAGTGGAGTGTGGATAATAATGCGAAAACAATTTGTGTGGTGCATTTGTATAATATAGGGTAAAATCTGAGGGCTGTGGTCCTATATTTAGGGAAGGGCAAATGTAGTTTTAGTTTATGTTTGTGTTGGGCGGTTTTTGTTTTTTCTTTTTTCAAAAATCATCACCATCATTTTATTATTATTATTATTCTAACTATTACAATTACTATTATTGTTGTTGTTGTTATTATTATTATTATTCTGACAATTTTTTTATTTGAAATTTTTACAGGATTGTACCTTAACCTACTCTTCCGAAATAGAGACAATTTTTTCTCCTATTATTGAACACGATGCAGGTACTACATAAGAAGTACAAACATTGACACGAGATATAGACAACATGATCACATGTTAATTTTTAAGAATGTAGGAGATAGGCACCACACGGACACATTTATTAAAATATATATAATTTTGATTTCAATGATTTACATGCTAAAGTTTGTTTTAGCTTCTATCTAAACCAATTTATCAATTTGATCATGTCAATTTTTAGGAATGTAGGAGATAGGCACCACACGGACACATTTATTAAAATATATATAATTTTTTTGCATTTTGATTTCAATGATTCACATGCTAAAGTTTGTTTTAGCTTATATCTAAACCAATTTATCAATTTTCTAAATGATTTAACATCTGAGTGAAAATAAATTTTAAAGTGAATTATGTTAATACATTTTATATTTCACTTTCAATATATTTACGAATGTTGGGCACATGTTTGTTGTTTTAAACAAGTATACATCATGTGCTCAACAAACGTCAGGCTTGATTTAATTTAAACAGCTTTTAACATGTGGGCACTGCATTAAATTTCTCTGACATGCAAGTATAAGAATCTTCAATACAAGTTGAACACAGGTCACCCAAACTAAAGTGCCCTTGCTACTAATATCATCTGGTCATCTTTTTCAAAGGTTAAGATCTATAATTTTGTGTTAGGTCTACTTAGGACTCTATCCTCCTGTCTTCAGATGCACGTTCCCTTCAAGTATACCACTAGCAATTCTTGTTTATTGTCCCTTGAGTTCCCGTCCAGTCCAAACTTGTGTAGGATCCAGCAGATATTATTTTCTCATGGTTCTCAGAAACTTCTAATATTTAAATGGCATCTGTATTGGAGGAGTTGAAAGTTGGTTTGCAACTTAAAGAAAAGTTTTATCAACCATTCTGCTGTGCTTGTGACCTTGAAGTTCATGTTTTCATTTAATTGTCGAACTTCGGCTTTGACATATGTCCTTGCAGTTGTATATTTAGGCAATACTTGGAAGATGGAAAAATTTATTTCCTCCTGACACAGACTATAACCCTCATGATAGTTCTTATCTGTTCATCTGCTTATGTGTTATGCAGGGAGAAAACTTGATCCTGATATACCAGGAACGGAAACTGATGAAGGGAAAAATATCAGAAGCTCACATGACAATCAGACCTGTGATGTATCAGATTTTTTTATTTCTGACATGATAGTTGCAAACTTACCTTTAAGTGGAAATGATGACCTCTGCAACATCAATTATTTTCATGACTACAAATATACTCAGTCAACTATATTGTCTGATGTTGCTGATCAGTATATGATGCTTCCTTTCCTTGAGGACACTGTGAAATTCAGCAATTCAGATGATGCTGACTGTTCTGATGAATTAACCATTGGTTTTGGTAATTCTGGTTTGCACCGAGTAATTGATCAAAGAAATAATTTCAGCCTTGAATTCAATGTTAGCACAGATTCAGATCAGACAGAGTGTTTTGATCCCCAGTTGTTCGTAAAAAATTTACCAGAACTTTCAGAAGTGATATCAAACTTTAAGCCCAGTATATTGCCCAATGAAGATCGGAAAAGAAAGGCCGTGACCCTTGTACTTGATTTGGATGGTAAGAGATTTATATTCGATATTTTGTCTTTTTGAGGATTAGGAGATGTATAAATACCTGCACTGGTACGAGTGTTGAATGATTGGAATTTCTTTTCAAATCTCCTTTTTTTTTTTTTTACTTTGGGTTGTAGATTGAAAGGTTACAGGCTATGAAATTTTGAAGTAGCTGATCGGTTGTTCTCTCTTTTTCAAACTGTAGACTTTAGAATGCACACTTCCTTGGGAGTTTAAATGTGAGAGGTTTTTATTAGATGAACGCCGTCATAAAAAGACATGGGTACATTTTTTCTGTCAAAATTTTACGATTGCCAATTCAGGAATTTGAGACACTTGTTCTTTCTATCTCTCCTTAATATTTTCCCCCTCTTCTTATCTCTATACTGTGCTTGCAATCTATGGATGGTCCTTCCCCCACCAAATATGATGGCCTCAACCAACTAACAACCCTTTATGACTCAACTAGTAGTTGACAGCTAACTGACTACTATCTCAGCTTCCTATTAATTTCGTCCTTGCAGGAGTGAATTGTATAGGTGGATGACTTTGTTAATCAGATTATTAGCTAGCATTTAACATATCTAAATCAATATGAACTTGAGCTTTCTTTCAAGTGGAGCTATTTAATAGTTTGTTTGAGTTTTGCTTAGATTTCCAATATGTTTTGTGGTGACTAGTTCCCTTTAAATCTTTATTTTATCTGCTATCTGGAATGTAATGTAGTTGTCTTGTATATTTGCAGAAACCCTAGTTCACTCTACTTTGGAACCGCAGGATGATGCAGACTTCTGCTTTACTGTTTGCTTAAACATGAAAGAGCACATTGTATATGTTAAGCAGAGGCCATATCTTCAAATATTTCTGGATCGTGTTGCAGAGATGTTTGAAGTTGTTATCTTTACAGCCAGTCAAAGTATTTATGCAGAACAAGTCCTCAACAAACTGGACCCGGATAATTGTATTATCTCACGTCGACTTTATCGTGAATCATGCATTTTTTTAGAAGGATGTTACACCAAGGATTTGACAGTTTTAGGCATCGATCTAGCAAAAGTTGTCATTGTAGATAATTATCCACAGGTACAGCCCTTGGCCTAGTTTTTTATGAACTTCCATTTAGTTGGACCCTGCATTCTTTCTCTCTCTTTTCTCATGGTCTACATTTTTTAGTTATATAAAGAACATGTACTATGAGGTTAGGTAGTAGATTAATATGCTGATGTTAATGTGACTTTCAAATGGTGGAATGGAGAGATGGATTAGGTTAAACAACAGCTATTTCTATTATATCGTTGAAGATTCTTATTGTTACTTTTGAGTTCAACATGTGGAGTGAAGATTCAAACCCTTTTTCTTTTTGTCAAATATTTCTATCCTGAGCATGAGCAAAAGATTAATGTCATGTTTTTGGGAATTTGTAGTTATAATGTTTATTTGGAGAGAGTACTTAAAATGAAGGGATGAGTAGCATTCTTCATAATTCATAAGTCATATCTTCATATTAGCTTTCATTTTAACCAGAAGCATCTATCGTTACTTAGATTGGATGATGGCTCAAGAAAAAATCCTTTATTTTCTCCTGTTAGTTGGTTTGCAAAAAAATGTGATCTAGTGTTTCGGAAAAGGGGGAAAAAAATAAAAAATACTGTACAAGTTACCGTTGCAAGGAGGGAGGAAGGGGGCAGGGGGACTGTAGAAATAGCTGGTCTTAGTGCAATGCAAGTCACAAATGTGGAAGTAGGATATTGAAGGCGAAAAGGTGGAACTCTATATGTGAGTATCTAAGCATATCTTTGTTCGTGTCAGGTTTTCCGATTACAAGTGAACAACGGTATTCCCATTAAGAGTTGGATTGACGATCCCTTGGATTCTGCTTTAATTTCATTGCTTCCATTTTTGGAGACCCTGGCTGATGCTGATGATGTCCGCCCTATTATTGTCCAGAGATTTGGTAACAAGGAATAAGAGCCTTTCGTATTTCTTATTCTGTTGTTCTCGAGTATGGTGGCTCCTTGCCCTCTCTCTTTTTCACAGCAAAATTAGCTTCTAATCTTAGATGCTTATCTCTATCACATCATTGAGCTCAAGTTAATTAACTGTTGAATAAACTTGTTTGTCTTTCTTTGTTGAGTCAGATCTAGGTGCTTGTTACTTTCTGTTTTCTTCCTCTTGCTGACTAAAGTGTGCTTTGTCTTTTTTTTTTTTTTTTTTTTTTTTTTTTTTTTTTTTTTTTTTTT